CAGTGGTATAATTGAGTGCCAGTAAAATTAAAAATATCAGTTGTGGTCCAACACTTCTGCTTTTGTCATTCAACTAGTGGGATAGATATTACTAAATCAAAAAGATTTGTAGTTTACCTTCTGAAAGAAAACTCATGGTGACTTTTGTACATCTGTCTTCTTTTGAGGGCATTATCTGTATAGTAACATTTTTTAAAATTAAATTTATCTTATTGTCTGTGAAAATTCATACCAGAAGAGACAAATGTGTATTTTCTTCCTTTTTTTTTTCAAACTCACAGGTTAACTTACTGAATTCTATCCATGACAACTTCCACCAGTAAGTTATGGTTCTTTAACTCGTGATAGTTGCAAAGAGTGGTACAGTTGGTTGGACAAATGGAAGTGGGCACCAGTTATAGAGACTAAAAATTTTGTTAGAAGATTTTATAGTCGTAAACTGATTTACAGAATAGTTTATTAACTCTGTTTAAGCCAATTTGGGGAATCATGGACTTGGAATTACCTAACATTTATGGCCAACATATGTTTTTAATATCTAACTATTTAGATGTGGAAATTCAGTCATAATTTTCCTGGAGTTAATTTAAATATTTTCCTCCTTTTTGTGGAGTTGTGGTTATTACCTTATGTACAAAACATTAGACTGGGACATATTTCAGACATGTTTATTATAAACTACATCTGTATTTGGAGATTTTGATGTATTGTGGAGTCTGTGAAAAATTGTGGTTGTCTTGGAAGTTCATAGTCAAATATCAGTCTGTGAATCAGCCAGTGTTTATTTTTCTCTAATGATTTTGAGGTCTAAAATGACTTCTAGGCTTTCCCTGTTACAGTGTGAAATTATACATTTCACATGAACATTTGCTGTTCTCCTAGACCTCTACTCACCTTCTTACTATTCACAACAGAGGCTTTTCTTAAAAAATTATGGTTTTGCTTAGTTATTAGCAGTTGATTTCTGTACAGCACATGAGAGCAAGGAATACTTGAGCTGATAGGAGCACACCTGTGATGGGCTCTGAGCTCTCTCTATGCCCATCTCTTTGGTAGCTTACACCAGCCGAAGAGCTGCACTCTCAGTGGTACCAGTGATTAAAAGGATGATTTTTTACACAGAACACTAAGCAATGAGAACTTTGGACATGGGTAGATGTGCAAGACAGCAGCAGCTGAGACACAGTGTCCCACATCCCTGTCAGGTGTTCCATTTTCTTCTTTCCAGAGCCATGGCATCGTCCGGATCTCGGGAGCAGTTTTTGCGGCAGATGGAGCAGATTGTAGAAGGCATCAAACAGAATCGAATGAAGGTCTGACTTCTCTCACTTTCTTTGCTAGAACCTGGGAATTATCTCAGCAAAGCCTCTTGGATCTTGCTATGCACAATTATTATCCATTACATGGGGTGCAAATTAGGCAAGCAACTAAAAAGTATTATTTCTTTTCACATTCGTCAAAAACTTCTCACCACTAAATGTCAAGGAGTAGCGTATGACAGAGGTGTTATAACACCTCTGTCCTGACAGAATCTTATACCCCTCTACTTCATTACTGGCACTGCAGTGATTTAAATGCCTGAAGACAGCCAAATACCACTGAAATCAGTGGGAACTCTTCCATTTGGACTGTGTGGGTGCAGTCAGACCTGCAGCTCAGGCACAGTTTCTCGGACTGTGGGAGCTGACTGAAGCTGCTTTCTGCTGCTGAAGAGGGTCAGCAGCACCTCAGAGTCCAAACCATCATGTGCCCTTGTCTCAGTTGCACCTGTAGTGCCACTGGTACTGAGACTTCAGCATTAGGCTTTTAATTTTTAAGAGCTGATCTAAATGTGCATTACATTTCAAGCACGAGCCAGGGGTATCATTTATGAAGTATCTGTCTCCCCTTGTGTGTTATAAAGAGCTGTTCCTTATGCAGTATGTCCATGTGTATCCCATACAATATGATCTCTTACCTTTCCTGCATACCAACAGATGGAGAAGAAGAAGCAAGAAAACAAAATGAGAAGAGACCAGTTGAATGATGAATACTTAGAGCTTCTAGAGAAACAGAGGCTTTACTTCAAAACAGTGAAAGAATTTAAAGAGGTAAGAACACTTTTGCTATGTTCAGCTGTCCTGTTCAGTGACCCATTTTGATGTGACTTGTGCATTAATATATGCACACGATTTCCTGATATGATTATCACACAATGTTCATGATGTACCTTGGTTGTTTTCTCCATGTGAATCTTGGACTCTGAATTTGATTCTGGGAGTTCTTTCACTGCTAGATTGGAACCTCTCCATGTTACAAGGAGAGGTTATCATGCAAGTGGTGTGTTTAGGTTTCTAAGTGGAATCTCTTGAAGGTCTGTGAGCAGTTAGTTATTGCAGCAAAGATGGGTGTGGAAATGTGTGTGAGTAAGGAGGAAATGCAGGGTCTTGGTCATTAATCTTCAGGAACCAGCCTTGTTGCCTAATGACTGTGAAAGCACTGTATAACACTTCATTGATTTAGCCTTTCCCAAGCATTTAATCATCATGGGCTTCTGTTACTTGCTGTCTCCATGAGAATGAATGAATGAGAAGAAATGCTGCAGGCAAAATTGTCATTTGGCTTCATATGTTCGAGGAAAAACATCTTTGTGTAATTATTCCTGCTTTGTTCTGAGACAGCTCCTTCCTGTTTCAGACAGCGTACCTCTGGCAGAATGACAGGGGCTGTTCAGCTACTTGTCCAACATGCAGCATTTTACATCCTACTTGCAGAATTTAGGTAGATTTATTGTTAGGTTTTTTTACCTATTTTTCTTCCATTGCTATGAGGGAATTTCTGCTCAACTCTGCTACCCTTAAAAACAAAAGTCATGGTTGTGGTACTGAACACAGGTGTGTACCTATGTAAATGTATTTCCTGTCCAAGAGTTGTTCCCTGAGCACTGACTCTTTTACAAACTGTCCTGAGAAGTTCCAGATCACCTATAAGTAATCTCCATTTCAGATTTATTCTACTTATAAGTAAAAAGCTGAATTTGCTTTAGCTACATGTAAAAACTTCAGATGGGTGGTCAAGCAGTGTTCCCTCTGGCTTGCATGTCACAGTTTAAAGAATATTGCCATTGGAATAACATTATGGATGAATCAGAATTATCTTCAACTAATCATTCACTCCAGGCTGCTTTGGATTTTGGAGATGTTTCAAAATGAAAGAAAGGGTTTGGCTCTCTTGATGTGGAGATACAGGTAGCAGAGTGAAGAGCAATTCCTGCTTACTTGTTTGCTCTCTGTTAACAGGAATGCCGTAAGAATGAAATGCTGCTGTCCAAGCTGAAAGCCAGTTCTTCCTGAAGAACTCCAGCTGGGGAAATTTATAGAAGATTCTTCAGTCCATTGAATCTCTCTTGTGAGGTGACAGTTATAACTGCAATATAGATGTATATATATAGATATATATATATAAAATATATATACACACAGGTGTAAAAGTCTGTTTTTTCCAGTCTGTGTTCAGTTTACATTCCCTCATCACATGGCTCTATTATTCATTATTGTCTCCACTACACCGTAAAGAGTTAACACAGTACAGCAAAATAGAAATACTGTCTAATTTTATTTATTTGGGTTTGGTGTTATTTTTGTTTTCTACCAGAAGGACAGTGGGAATGTTTTTTATTTGGGTTTTAACACTGAATTAGGTGAAAATTCTGGAATAAATTTACATGTACTGTGTAGTATGTCCACCACTCCACAGGATGAGCACTGCAGAAATGCAGTACTTTGTTAATTTTGGCCCAAAAATAACACACAGAACAAGATTCTTCAAACTCACTTTTCCAGCTCATAACTTCACATAATTTTAGTTTATACTCTAGCCATATATAGGATTGCAAAGGATAACAATTAATTTCTAATGGCTAAGAAAATGAAAACTTACCTTGGCTAATTCCTGGTGTAAAATTATAGATCTATATTTTTATAAAGTCTAGCTGCTGTATAAATTTCTTTGAAATTTCATTTTTATATATGGAGAGTGTGCTTGTTAAATTAATAGCTCCAGGAAAAAAACACCTTAATACTAGGATTACCACGTTATCCCTGGCTGGGATGAAAATCAGAGTCTGTGACCTGTAATATAGGAAGATAAAGATTGAGACATTCTGCTCTAATGAACTGATGCTCACCTTTGAAGACAACAACCTACTTACCCTGCTGAAGATTTGCTCTTGGAAGTTCAGAAACTTTGTGGGACACTTTCTGAGACATTTTTATATCTGTATATACAGTGTTTTATAATTCAAACAGTTGCTTTTTGTACTTAACACCAGGATTTTGGACTGACTTCTGATGTACATGACATCTTCAGGAGAAGAGGACCGTGTTCCTTTTCCCACTGACACTGATGACAGCGCTGTTCGATCACTGTCTGTGGCAGCAGATTTAAAATAAAGAATGTTTGGAATCCAGTGGCATTCTGATATTGTGTTTTTTAGGGTGGAACTTGTCTCAGAAGCTTTCCCAGGCTCCTGTGTTACAAGTGCATTAAAAGGTGAATTGTGTCCATAATCAAATGAGTCACTGTTTTTGTGATGTCCTGTTCCTACAGCACAAACAGAAAGAAAACCTTCCCACTGAGCCAGCTGGAACCTTCTCCCCAACACGGGTTAGTGAGGGAATAGATCTGGCATGCTCCTCTTGCTTCTGTTCAAAAAGTCAGTCTGCCCAGGGCTAGCAAAATAATGAAGGCAAGTCCCCTCAAAGAAGGAAAAACTTAGATTCAACATTCCTTCAAAGAAGGAAACCTGCACTGAGTGCTGCTTGCAGACTTTCTATAGTCAGCTTTGATGTTAGGAGGCATTTCTGTCTACAAACTTTGCCCTCTATAAAAACTGTGAGACTCTTTCTAGTTTGTTTGTAAATTGAGTAACTCAGCTTTGGCACCAAGGAGACCTGCTTGGGAATTCAAGCTGTGCTATGTTTGTGTACCATGCAACTCTAAAAAAATAACTTGAATGGGCATTTCAGTTTGGGATTTATCATTTTAATCACAATTGCTTTTTAGCATCAAGCAAAATTTCCTAGGTAGAATAAATAATGAACTTGCATGTAAGAATAATGATGTCATTATTTGTTCAGTATAATGTTAAAATTTATGCTTACCTGCTACAAGCACAGTAATCTGGAAATTTCCAGAAGAAATATAAAAATGTGAGATCCAGTGCTCTGACTAGGAGCTTGTGATTTTGACTAAGATATGAATCTGAGGTTTGTAGAATGCAGTTGTTGCTCACAAAGGGTAAATTAGAGTCCAGACCATAACTGACTGCTGTAGATGGAGCCCAGGGCAGATGGCCACTACCTTTGGTGTGAGCCCCATGTGAAAAGGAGAAGAAGGAGGCTGGTGAGGGTGTGAAAACAGTTCCATCAGCTGTTCCTTGCTTTCTGGCACAGGCTCTGTGCGCTGGGTGCCATTTCTCCTTATACCTGGGGAGAAACCAACAAGCAAGGAAAACCTGTCTTAATTCTGCATCTTGGGTGGTTTCAAGTGAGGAACTGAGACTTTCTCAAAATTTTTCTTCAGTATTGCTGGATTTCCTTGTTGAAAGGGAAAGGTCTTGCCCTGAACTCATTTGGTGTTACCTTATAAGGCTTGTAAAGTAACATTTATGGGACTTGCAGCAAAACCTAATTTTTTTATTAGGGTTATTAGCATTGTCTGCTCACACTCATCTTCCAAGGCCCTTTCATTTCTGCACAGCACAGCTGCTGCAGGATGCAACAATGTCCTTCTGCTGAGCAATAGGCTTCAGTAAATTTTTTTAGGAGCGAATTCAGTGTCAGGAAATAAAGTTTAAAACTAGTAGTCTACTGCTTACAAGCAGAGATGATTGGTGTACTCCAAATTGGCAGCTTCTGTTGGGGAAATAAATACATAACATCTAAGCTGTGCTAAATGATGTCCCTTTAGAATAGTTTTTTTTTTCCTGTTAGACAGTCAAGATACTGTGTCATTAATCTTAGTTCATATAGGAGCATCCAGCAGGTTAGGCAACAACCACTGATAACCTATTTTCTTTGCCCCACAGTGAGCTGTTAAAAACCAGAACCTGTGCTGCCACTCTTCTAAATGCAGTCTGCATTTAGAGCTGGAGTGGGAAGCTGATTTTGTTGAGAGCTTCCTAAAGCCACTGCAATGAAATGAAAGCTCTGCTTGCCTCTCGTTGCCTCTGGGCACACACGGGGCCGCTGTGTGAGCCCGTCACTGTAACACTCGCTGCTGGCACAGATCCTTGGGTGGGCAGAGCTCTGGCTGCTTCTCTTCAGAACTCCTCACAACAAAATTCCAGAGGCCCAGCCTCGCCTCCTAAGGGAGCTAAATTCATCCTTGAGGAGGAGGAGAGCTGTGTCAGTGCCCTGCTGCTGCTCTCCCGCTTGCTGAAGGCACTCTGCTGCACGTCGGTGTCTGCAGTGCTGCCCTGCACGTGTGCAGCTGCAGGAACTGCACAGGGGCCTTGCAGCTCTGTGGTGTTCTCCCAGGTTTCAGAGGCCAAGCCATGGCAGAAGGTGCCTGCATAGCCAGGTGCTGCTCCAGTCAGTTGGAATGTGCAGCTGGAGATCACTGCAGCTCCTGCAGCCAGACCGGGATGGGCACCAGCATTGGCCTTGGATTTGTGTGAGAGTAATGGCTTGGCTTAGCAGGCTGAGGGAGTACAGGCACTAAAATTTGTCCAAACCACAATTATTAGAAACTTCAGGGGTGCCACATGCAGATTTGCATGCTTTTCAACACCAGCTCAAGACAACCTCTGCATTTCCTTCTTCCATGTCATCTGTTTGGATTTTAAAGGTTTTACAGCGGTGACTATCTTACATGAAAAAAATGAATTGACTTGAAAAATTTGTCAGTGGTTCTGAATGAGGCTGCGGATTTTAGTAACATTTAGTCTCCTACATATGTGCCTTCCTTCTGGTTTAATTAAGCCTCCAAAACCTGGTTTGAGTGGTAGCTATTCCGTATGCAGGCAAGTTGAGAGTCACAAGGGAAAGTTATTTAAATCAGCATTTAAGTCTGAGTCACTGCCTAACAACTCTTTGAAATTCTAGGTTATTAAAACTTCTGAATTCCCACTGAAATTGAGGGAAGCCTCCTCTGCAGGAATGCAAGACACACAGGTGGCTGTGGGCACAGTAAGTCACACTGGACTGTCACAGCACTGCAGGTGTGAGGTACAGCACTGCCTGACCTCACCATACACTGTGCTCCTGACATGCAGCTTCCTGGGACTGTGTCAGGAAAAAGCTGCCATGCTAGAAATACTCAGCTGTCAGCTCTCCCACTCAGAGCAGAGGAGGAAGTAAAACCCACCAGAAAAACAAATATGGAGCAAGATGGACTTGGCAGTATGCAAGGAAAGGAAACAGATTATTTATGTATATATTGTTGGGTCAGGGATGTTTGGAAGATCTTGGGAAAATTATTTAAGGCTTGGGTTTGAGTTCTTTGGGTTCTGGGGAGTCACTTAGACCTGATGGCATCAAGACCTTTGTTACACTAGAAGGACTTCACCCAGGTTGGGTGATGAGCACATTTATGGTTCAAGGGCCCCAGACACAGTGCAGGCACTCACCTACCACTGCCAAGCAGCCACACGCTGCAGCCAGCACACCTGGTTTGACTGAACATCCTGTTTGGTGTTCGTCACACTTATGCCTGCTCATTTTTATGGTAGCATGAAATAACCATGCACACAGTCCCCCTTCACTTGGAGGTGTTGGTGTCTAGAGCTCATCTGGGTTTCATAGAACAGGGAGAGCCAGAGCCTGGCAGACTGAGAGGATAACACAAGTGAAAAGTCCTTACTAGATCCTCCTGTGGCAGCACTGAGAACACATTCTCAGGGGCTCTGAATAATTCTATACTTGCCTCTTAAGGTTCACTTAACCCCAGGGGACACAGCTGACCCCTTTGTGACCAAGCCTGCCCATCAAGCCCTGCTGCTTGCAGAGCACACAGCCCCTCAGTCCTGGCAGGGTGTGTTTCTGAGCTGCTTGGTCATCCACTTTAATTTCACATCAACTCAAGGACTGATTGACTGCAGCATGTTTATTCCCTTCCAAATAAATCCTGCCCGTATCACAAGCACGTCAGTATTGCTCAATTAGCAGCTCCCAGCGGTGCCTTTGCTGATGAGGAGAGCTCCAGCAGGGCCGGGATCAGCCGTGCTGGGGTGGCACCGCGGCCCCGGGCACACGGCCGGCAGCCCTCAGCCCGTGGTGACTGAACAGCAGACAGGAGGCATTCCCTGCTTCCACCTTCTTTGCCAAACACCGGCGTAGCACATCTGTATTTCTAAAGGAGAACTGTAAACTCTCCAGTAGGTTTATATCCAGACATCTTCCATCTTCTTTTTCACTGCTCCTAAATCCGCTCGAGTAGGTCTCGTGCATGAAAACTGTACGTAGCACAGGCCTATTTCCTATTATGCAATAATAATTTTCTCCTCTGTGTCCCCTTTTATCTTTGCTTTACAAAAAGGTTCTTGAAGGCATTATTGTAATTTTTGTTAAATGCTGTATAAATGAGAGGATTAAAGAAAGAATTTGAGTAGCCAAGCCAAAGAAAGATGCTTTTCCAGATGGGCGGGATGTTGCAGGAACAGAGGGGACTTATTAATTCTGTGATGAAGAAAGGGATCCAGCACAGTACAAAAACTCCAATTAAGATGCCAACCATCAGAGCTGCCTTTTTCTCTTTCTGTTCTCTCCATGTTTCTCCATCTGTCTGGAAAGTGATAGCTGCACGACGAGCTGTAAACACCATCTGTGGTTCCTGCGAAGCTTCCTTCACCTCAAACAAAAGCAAACACAGTTTCTTACCAAGACAGTTTGAGTGAAGTATTACTTTTAAATGACAGCACAACATCTGTGCACCTACCACAAAAGGCCTGAACTTCATTCCTTCCATGCTAAAAGAAAGAAAATGCCCCAGAGTGCCAAACTCATTACACTGAAAAAGCTGCCAAGTGTAACTGACAAACAGAGCTAAATAAAGAGTACCTGGTGCCATGTGTGTTGTGGGACTCTTTTTCAGTTTATTGTACTGGATGCCTTCATAACTAGGGGGAAATGAGGTTGTTAAGGCAGGCTAACAAAGGCCCGTGTCTGCTGCCTATCCCTGTACCAGACTCATGCTGCTACATGGCCTTTAGACCTGCTCAAGCTGAGCTGCTCCAACAGGGCTTGGACTAGATGATCACCAGAGGTGCCTTCCAAGTCCTGTAATTCTGAACTTTCTCAAAAAGTACATCATTGCCAGAAAAACACCACTTCAACTGACCTTCAGTTCAAACTCTGGCTTCAGCAGGGGCTATACGAGAGAAGAAAAAATTTCAGCTACTCCAGGCTGTCAACAGTGCTTCTTGTCTCCTCTCACTATGGGCAAGACATTCAGCTCTGCAGTCAGTACAGCACAGTTCTTGGAGACAAACAGCTTCTAGGCAGAAGTTATTTGTGTGCTTTGAGTCTGACCAGATGAAGACACTCCCTAGAGATTTTAATCTCAAGATTGTGAAGTGTCTGTGATATTAAAGTTCTTCTAGGCACTACAGTTATGAAGAGAGTGCAATAAAAGCAACAGTTTTAGGCTGCAAAACTTGCCTGAGTGACAATTCACAGGCACTCCAAATATGGGCCATTGTTAAATTAGCTACATATTGCACATTCATGTGCTACCTTGCAATAGAAGGAGGGCCTCTATTCAGTATGAGCACAGCAATTCAGACAGTGAAGCACTGGCAGTGGCTGAACAATCACTCTTCAGGATGGATATCCCTGTCTGCACCTTCAGACACGAGATGGGGCTGTGGAATGTAAGAGCGGCAGATTATGGGCACAGGCAAATAATGGAGGAAAATGAAAATCACATCAGTTCTGACAATTAAAATGGGACACCCCTCGTGTAGCAAGGATCACACCATTTGTCTGCAGAAGGACCTGCTCTGCACGTCCTTAATCACACTCTGCAAAAAAGGATGAATGTATGACAGAAGGACAATCTGTGACAAGCAACCATGAACGATTATGTCTTAGCCCTGAGGAACAGTTATGCAAGTGCCTCTTGGGAACAGCCATACAAAGGACTTCCTCATGAGCATCAGGCACAGTTTGGTACTCTATTTAACCTTCAACTCCTGCTCAGATGATAGAGCTTGCATCAAATCACAAAATCGAATCAGAGCCTTCTCACTACTGACTGCAGAATTTACTAGCAGAGACCCTTTTATCACTAATTACATATTGTGAGAAAAGGTTATTTCATTTCCTTTGCTCGAAGATACCTCAGTCCTCAGGTGTTTTCCACAATGAAGCCTGCATTTGCAGCCTGGTCAAGCTCCTGCTGAAGTAAGAGGAGTTTTTACAAACTTCCCTGGTTGTTAGGTCAGGACTCTGAAAACAAAACAGCAAGTGAAACTGTATCATAGTATGTTTTGTAAATTACTTGCTAGAACTAAACTCACCTCTAGATGTATCAAATCTGCAGTTCCCAGTGCCAGCCCAGAGGTTTTTCATGACTCCAATTTTCAATGTAAGTCACAACAGCTGACCTTTATCACCATACCACACAGAACAAAGGACAAGTATAGAACCTTTGGCCCCATTTTGGGCTTACTGATGAGCACTAGAAAGCAGGCTGTGACAGAAGAGGTGGTCACAGACTGTAAATTAGAGCAGTCCATGGAGATGCCTTGGGTTATGCTGGAGCCATCTCTGCAGTGCTGCACACTGCTCTCACTCAGTGTCTAGCAGCACACTCTGCCTCGGGCACAGACTTCCTTCCATCTGCCCAGGCACTGCTCCAGGAGCACTGGGGAAATAGCTGGCATGAAAGGACTGCTCCTCTGAGGCCAGAATTTGGTTCTGAACTGATGAAACCAGCTATTTCCAGAACAACGGGCTGTGAGAACTGCAGAGATGATTGCTGCTCTGTGAGACTACTAAAAAGTAAATGAAGGAAATGAGCTCAAGTACAAATCCTTCTACAGTCACAAAGGAGTTTGGTTTTAGTTCCAGAATTTATTCTTCTGTACACTGATATGCAATTACAGTTCACTACCTCTTCTCTTGTTTGTCTGTCCCCAGTAAATTACTACTCACAAATGGATACATGTTCCTAGAGCTGTATGTTCCCAATTCCTGTGCTCCTAGAATGTCATAGAAAACACGCCACCAAGGAGCTTCTGACAAAATCCCTTGATTTACAATGTTCCTTACAGCTTTAATGATTGTTATTACTGTTCCTTCGTGGCAGGTGCTCTGTGTGTGTCTGTCCTGCACCTGCAGGGCCTGCAATAACAAAACAACAGTAATGATAAACATCCATCAAATCTGGCTTAGCGCCACAAATTTAGAGCTTTGCCTGTCACAGTGTGGTTCAGCAAAGGTCATTACAGCCTCAGTGCAGCACTTCTTGCTCTTTGAACAAGAGCACAAGAAACTAAATGCAAAGGATCAAACTAGAGAAATGTCTACACTCTCTTGGATTCTCCATCAACATAACAAACAGTTCATTTGACAGGGAGAAGAACACCTGCTTTCTCTCCCAGGAATTTCTTCTGCTGTAAGCAAGACTAATGTATTTCTCCCAGGAAATCACTACCCACTCTACTTTGCTTCCTGCCTCACTCTTTTCTGGACATTTTTGTACCTCTTCAGACAGCTGAACTTTATTTCTTATTTGTACCTCTGTACAGGTAGAAGAGATGGGTCAAGAAACAAAAGGCCGGTGACCCCTTCAGAAAAGGAGAATCTTTTTTTTTTTTTCCTCCCACATTGTCCTGACTTAAGTGAGTTGGAGAAGCTGAATGAGCCAAGGTGCAGAGCAGCACAGCACTTCTGGAGCTCTGGGGCCTGATGTTATCCAAAGTGGGAAGGGCTCTCACAAAACTCTAAGCTTTGGATCATGCCTAATGCTTTTATACACTATATAAGTACTTTGAGAAGGGAGAAATAAACAGAAAAAAACAACAACAACCAAAAAAAACACAAAGCAACAAAACCTCCACCAATCATCAACAGAACTTGATTTTTAACTCCTCATATGAACATTTAAACCTAATTTTGCAGTTGCTACATGTAAGTAATGCAAACATTCAAATCCCATCATCCTTGGTTTTGCTGGGTTATCCCTATGCTGTGATTTCACTGATTTCATTGATCTCATTGATTCACAATCCAGAAGTATCTGCTGGTTTTCGAGCAGTCTCATTTATTTCAATTGGACTGTTTAGAGAGAGAATTATTGCCTGCTGTCAACCAGGTGTGACAGAGCATAGCTCTCTGTCAGTGATGATATGTCACTAGGTTTTTAATGAGGGTCACCCATGTCAGCGTTGCCTGCAGAATTCACTTTTCACGTAGTTTCATAATTGGCAAGCAAAAAATTATAAAAGCACCAGCTTAATTTAGGACCCCAATGTGGCAATTATTTTATTTCAAATGAAAGCAAAAACCAAGCTTTCATTTAAACCAGAAGCATTTCAGATGTTTCACATCCATCTCCCTCACCTGAATTTTTTCAAAGGTTTTGAAAAGTATTTTTCAAAAACACAAGTAAAATTTTAACAAAAGAATGACTCAAAATAGTTATTTTGTACCTGTTCTATTCTGCAGCTCTGTTAGAGTGTAGGAACATAAGGTATGTATGCCCACTCCCAGTTTGAAAGGAATGACCTTTCTCTGTGAAAACAACCAACCATTATATTTATATGCATTATATAATGCATAATATAATACATTATATTATATGCATAATATAATGCATTCTATGCATTATATTTATATGCAACCTCCGAAGCACTTTGGTGCCTGACTCTGTTGGCTGACAAATATCAAGGTATTACCCTCACAGCCCAACTTGGTGTACTGGTTTTTCCAAGACATCCCTACTGGCATCTGAGTCCTATGACTCAAACCTTTTCTAACCTTAGACTTGCCAGAATTAACCAGCTGGTTGTACCTCAGGCCACCAACTGCAGCCCTGCTGTGCAGTTCCAGTCCAGCACTACCTGACAGCTCATTCCTGAGTGCGACACAGACATCTCTCCCAGCAGGGATCACTGCTATTATTGCTCACCTCCTGACTGGGAAGCACTGCCAGCCTTGTGCCAAAAAAACCCTGCTAATATTCCTCAGATCAACTGGTGCAGGGCACCTGGAGTGAGGACTGACATAGATGCAGAGGGGAATTCACATCCAGAGTCACAGTGACAGAAGGAAAATGTTGCCAGGGTGAGCATGACAGGTGAGCATTCTCTGAGAACAGAGATGGAAGAAAGTAGAGGGAGGAGGGACATTAAGGGAGAAAGAAAGGGAAAATTAGAATGAGCTGATGGGCAAACCATGAGAAGCAGAACAGAATTTGCCCCATCAGTGAGGACAGAGCTGATGCTGACAGCCTGATCACCCCTGCATGCAAGGAAGCGAAGCTTGGCAATGTTACCTTTGTGTTTGCATGTTAAAAAAAAACAGGGTTCTTGCCAAAGAACAGTAGTGATATGTGTGAAGATTCCCCTCCAGAATTCACTGGGAAACTGCTACTATTCCTGTGAAAGTGATGGATCCTACTACCACAAGCTTAAAAAGGATCAGGATAACACTCGGTGAGTAAATCTCAGCCTCTTAATTTAGAAAGAAAACAGGAAATGCATCCTGGATGGCAGCATGCTTGATCCACGAGCTCACATAATGTACATGTGTACAGCATCAGCTCTTCTTTCAGGTGAGGAGCAAAGTTTGCATCTGAATCACAGAAGTTAGCAAACAGAGCTGCTGGGACAATAGAGGAAGTTGCCACTATACACAAATTGCAGATTCAAGAATCCCTGTTAGGAGAAGTCAATCACAGTTAATATGTCAATCACAACAATGAGAAAGAAGACCTAGTGGCTTGAGTATCTGCTGGTATTGCAATAATCCTTCCAAAATGAGTGTGTAGCTCACTGTGACAGAGCCCTTTTGCCAGTGCAGCCTAAAGCAGCCCCCAGATGCTGCATCACAAAAAACACTCACCTGGCAGCCACGCTGGGCCCAGGAAGGGCCTCCTGCAGACACAACTATGACAATGTGCAGCCAGACTCTGTCTTGCTAAAACTGGCATGGGATGTGTCCCTCCACTGGCTCGAGCAGCAATGTCTCAGCTCATTTCACTTCCCAGAATTTTAGATTCCAAACTAGTCCTGATGGGTATGTGTGTATGTAAAAGATAGAACATGCAAAGTACAAATAATCAGCTGGCTTTTGTGCTTGAAGAGATTATATATTAACTCCAAGCAATACTTTCATCATACTTAAAACAATTTGGAAGAAATTTGGTGCAAACTAGGGCCTGAAGATTGTAGGAAAAAAAATGCCACTAGATGAGACATTCTTTACTGTTCTAACAAATTTTTTCCTTTTTTCATAGAAGATAACCTTCATAAATCAATATATATTAGAAGTAGCTTCAGGACATTATGATCCAAATCTGCAAGTCTAATCACACATAATTGCCAGTGCAATTATGCAATTATGCCAGTGCAATAATGCAATTATACCAGTGCATGTCTTGCAAGCATCTGGGGACACAAACTACAGACTCTTACTTGTGACCATAATAATGATCTTCCTTGCCTCCAAATCAAACATAGGATTTTGCAGGGGAATGAGGCTCTGCAGGATTAACCCCAATGGAACAGAAATGCTCTCTAACATCTACACAGCTCATCTTTGCTACTGGGAAGGGACTGGGCTTAGGAAGCGCAACATTCAATCACAAAAGCATAAAGACTGGTAGGAGTGAGAGTATGTGACAGAAAGCAGGGAAAGTTTACAGAGAGCACAGCCAAGCACGGCGGAGACATGGAATGGGCAACAGCAGCATCATGCAGAGAGCCTGAGACCCAGGGAGAACAAGGAGCCAACCCAAACCCTTCTGAAGGGACACAGCTTTCCTGTCAGCAAAGTGTGTCCCCAAAATGAATGAAACCTCCCAGATGGCTAGGGCACTGCAGGATTACAGACAATATTTGGGATAAGGAGAACATGGTTTTGAAACCAACAGGTAATTTTAAATCAGAAACGATTGCTCATTGCTTCAACACTATGCACTGAGCAGCATCCAAGGAAAAACAGCCCAAGAACATAAATATATATAAGTTTATATTGTGAATAATACCTAATTTGCTTACCAGAATGTATTCAGAGAGACAAAGTCTGTGCTGGTAGATAAATGCACATTTATCTCGGTGCAGGACCTGGGGATCTGTTTATGTCTTTTTTTTACCCCACCAACACAAGAAGAATATAGAGGAAAAAAACCCAAAACCAAACAAACCAAGGAATGGCAAATCCAGAACAATTTTCAAGTGTCTCTCCCAACTGGCAGTGAATGCACCTGTCCCTTACTCCTATAACACACAATGAAAAAATGAGAATAAAGATCTTCTCCAGGAGCCGCACTTTTTGACTGGCAGTGAATGCACCTGTCCCTTACTTTTATAACACACAAGGAAAAAATGAGAACAAAAATCTCCAGGAGCTGCACTTTTTGACTGGCAGTGAATGCGCCTGTCCATTACTTTTATAACACACAAGGGAAAAATGAGAATAAAGCTCCTCTCCAGGAGCTGCACTTTTTGGCTGGCTAATTATGCTCACGTCCAGTCTGTGACAAAGTCGCACTCACACGGGAGCCCCGGGGCACTTGGCAGCCTTCTCGCCGTGCCGGACCCTCCATGGCAGGGGCGAGGGCCGGAGCTGAGCAGAACCAGGCTGGCAGTGCCAGGGGAGCAGCGGGGCTCCCTCCCCTTGCCCAGCCTTACCTGGGCAGCCTCGGGCAGGGCCAGCACGGCGTTCCTCCTGCGGGCCCCCATGTGCCACCTGGACGCCTTGTAGATCTTCCAGTAGACGAAGAGCACCACGCAGAGGGGCAGGTAGAACGCCCCGCCCGTGGAGACGATGGTGGAGGACGGCTCCTGGCGGAGCTGGCAGCGCTGCTGCTCGGGGCTGTAGGTCTCCCCCCAGCCCAGCAGCGGGGCGAGGGCGATGGCCGCGGCCAGCAGCCAGGTGAGCGCGATCATCGCGTTGGAGACGCGGCGGCGGGCGAGCAGCGTGTACCGCAGCTGGCGGGTGATGGACCAGTAGCGGTCCAGCGCGATGGCCGCCACGTTCCAGATGCTGGCCGTGCAGCACAGCATGTCGAAGCACACCCACACGAGGCACAGCTCCCGGCCCAGCCGCCACCGCCGCCCGGCCGACAGCTCCTTCACCAGGCTCAGCGGCATCACCAGCGCCGCCACCAGCACGTCCGACACCGCCGTGGAGGCCACCAGGTTGTGGGGCACCCGGTGGAAGGCCTTCACTCGCAGGATGGTCGCCAGCACCAGCAGGTTCCAGAGGAAGGTGGCCACGGTCAGGAGCACCAGCAGGGTGAGGATGAGGACGGTGAGGATGGAGAAGGGCTCCCGGCCCCTCCACGCGCTGCCGCCCACCACCGAGGAGGAGGCGTTGGCGTCCACGCCGGCAGACGAGGCATTGGCGCCCACGCTGGGCTGGCACTGGCCCCGTGGGGAGCAGGAGCTCAGAGTCTCCGCCATGCCCGGCACCAGCGCTCGACCCCTCCCCGCTGCCCCTTCCCAGCCCCGCCGCGGGGAGCGGAGCTCCGCGCCGGGACGCGGCTCCCGGGCGGCTGGAGAAGGGAGGCGGGCTGGAGAAGGGAGGGAGGCACGGCGGCACGGCGGCGAGGCCCCGGCACGGGCAGCGGGGGCGGCGGCACCGCCGCTGCCGCCCCGCCCCAGCGGCCGCCCCGCCCCAGCGCGGCCGGGCCGCGAGGGGCGGCGAGGCGCCGCCTCCCCGGCGCTGCCCCTGAGGGGCGAGGCGGCGGCTGCGGGCGCCGTCCCGACCAGGAGCACGGCCAGCTGGGTTTGCAATGTCTGCGAAGAGGGAGAATCCGCGCCCTCCCTCCCTGGGCAGCTTTTAGTGCGCTGCCACCGTCAGTGTAAAGTTCTTCATCTTGTTGAGGTTAAACTCATTGTGTTTTAGTTTAAGGCCATTACTCCTTGTCCTGTCGCTGGGCACCACTGAAAAGAGTCTGGTACGATCCTGTTGGTACCCGTCTTTGAGATCTTAATGTGCATTAATGAGATCCCCTCTCTGTCTTGTCTTCTGCAGACTTAAACAGGTTTATCTGTCACATTCTCTCATAAGAGATGCTTTATGACCTTTGTGGCCTCTGCTGGACCCTCTCCAGTAGCTCCTTGCCTTTCTTGTACGGAGGAGCCCCAATTTGGACACAGTGCTCAGATGTGGCCTCACCAGGACCGAGTAGACAGCAATAGTCTAAACAAGAGTTAGACAGCAAGAGCTAAAATTAAATTAACGACCTGGAAATTAGTTTGACTGCAATAGTCTGTGTCCCCACACACCCAGGTGGAGACGAGACACCCCCTTCTCCCCACGGACCCCATGAGGCTACAGGACACCCTCTTCTCTTCACAGCCCTTTCCTGCCATGTTCCCCCAGTGCTCCACCAACCATTTCATTGCCCTTAAAATAAGCGATCAAGTATGTGACCAAGGGCTTGGAGATGGACAATAGAATCAACAGTGAATACAAGAGAATGTCGTATTTCCATCTGGATGTCTGGTGCTTTGTGGCACTTTTGAGAAGTCTGAAGGATGCAAAACACAAAAGGGTGGAAAGTAGCAATCTCTTGTAAGTCTAAATACTTTATATCTTCCTTTGCATCTGTTCTCACTTTCTCCTGTTGACCTCAGAATTGATGATAAAAGGACTTGTGACAAAGGTGAAGAATTGCAAAACATATTTCCTAGTCCTCATCACTTTACCAAACATCACTTCAGGACTCTCTTTAACTGAATCTTTTCAGATTCAGACTTGTCATACTATTTCTTTCGGTCAGTCTGAAAGTTCTTAACTTGGTTTAATCCTCCCTGCATCCTTGTAATTTGTGTCCAAGCTACCCTTTGCTCAGCTGTGCTGAGGCGTCTGTCCTCCCCAGGGAGCAGCTGCCCAGGCCAGCTTTGTCACAGCACCATTTCCAAGCACTGACAAGGACAGCACACAGCTTAGTAACAGCTCTGGAGGGTGATGACTCATCCAGATATAACAGAATTCCAGCCCATTTTGTGAAGTGATGATGTATTTTTATAGCAAATATATAAAATTTTAATGTTACATTTTCCAGAAGTTTGTTTTTATCAATTAGAGGCAGATTATTTTTAGACCATTATAAAAGGACTACACTGAACTTGGATCTTTACATATTTTCCGTTTTTTGTTTTAGATTCAAAAGTGCTAAAAAGGGTTCTAGCAGATGCAGTTTTATTCCATCCCTTTAGTAGAAAATCAGCCTCCTATCAAAAGTATTTTTAAGAAAAATCAGTTTTATAAATCCTGAAATTAATTTAAGAAATACATAGAAAATTTCAGCTCAAGACAAAAAACAAACCTTCCAAAGTCCTTTTACAGCTGGTTCCATACTTTTACTATTGAAAATGTGATGGAGAATCTAGGTGCCATACAGATGCCAGGTAGTATTGATTTTATTAATAATAAAAACACTTACAGGTGATTGCAACCACTCATAGAGGAGCCCAGAAAGCCCTCAACATCTTTAATTGATAGTCAGAATAGAGAGTTTGGAAATTTTGTAACTGTTACACAAGATTTTGCAGAGCCTACAATTTTCCTTTTTTTTCTTTTTTAATTTCTGACCAACTGGGAAAAAATAGTAGATGGTTATGTTTTTCAGTGTTGCAGCTTACAAAAGTGTCTGGGAAGATGGACTGCTGCTGAGGAGTATGCTAAGGTTTTGGGGTTTTTTTTGAAAAGTGAATGTAGTTCTTAAGCTAGATGACACACATACAGCAAAGTGAATGTGTTTTTAGACAGGACCCTGACTTTCCATTTGTCTTCCCTTCTTCTAATGGCATCTTTCCTCTACCTCTCCTCACAACTCCATACCAAAAGTTTATTGTGGTGGCTAAGAAGAAAAAAACAAAAGTAATCTCTTCCCTACACGGCTGTGCTGTGCAATAAAGAGATTTGACAGAAGCAACATCATGGTATTTATGACTTTGATGCAAGCCAGCAGATTTTTTAGCAGCTAAGAGCATTCCAGCTCAAGAGGCTGGATTCTTATTGTCAGGGCTCAACATATTTTATAAATCTAAAAGCATCAGACAAACAAAAGCCTCGGTAATTGTTGTATGAATTCTCCTGTCAGCTAAAATCCTGAGAAAATCAAGCTAATAGAGCAAAAGCCAGGAGCAGTAATACAATTTTATTCTGTATTGATTATAGGCTTCTTTCAGCATTAATTTGAAAAAAAAACGCAAACCCAAGAACTGACCCACATTTCAAGGGCTAATAACTGCCTCTTGTCTGGCTGTTTACATTTCTTCTGTAAAACCCCTTTTAAGTTTTGGGCACTTGAAGTGACTGGGCAATGATCTCCTAAGCAGAGCAGTGGCAGAACTAAAACCAAAAGTCACAGACCTGTGCAGTATCCTGTCAGCACCATGTCTTGCTTCACAGTGGGTCCTCTACTAAAATATTATTTTTTAAAATCACGTAGCCCTTTTCACCCTTCCTGTGAGTTGCTTTCCCTGAGCCTCAAGTCACTGGCTTGAAAGCAAATCATCAGAGCTTTGGTAACTTACTTAAATTGAGTCATCATCAAGTCATACATCAAACAGAAAGGCTGATTACTGCCAAAATATAAACATACTTCTTATTTACAGCAGACCTCAGTAGATAATATCTTAGTTCTCAACTACTCTTACTCTACAGTGTCAATAAGGGTGCCTTCTACCTGTGATATTCACCCTGAGAAATTTGATGGAAACACTTTCTGACCAGCGTCGTGCTTGTCCGTAACTCAGCAGCTTTTATAGCACAGGAAACTCGGATCATGATGAGATATTTCACAAATACGAGCAGTAACTCGGTGGCAGACTGCTCCTTTATGGGCCTGCTCCAGGAACTGTCAAAAACATCTTCCAGTTCAAGCAGGACAGATTTGATCACCCCCTTAAGTGGTTTAAAGAGTCCAATTGCTTTGTCAAGGTTCTCAGAGGAAGAAAGCAATTTCTCAAGGCACATGGTATTAGTCCCCAAGCGATTGGTCACTGTTATGAGACAAGCCTTGAGAGCCTGATGGCTGAGGTCTATTAACTGCTCATAGGATTGATAACAGGGGAAGCTGCAAAGGAAACCCTAGATTTCCAGTCTGACAATCTTTTGCACTTCTTTCAATACCATGGTGGAATAGATGCTGCCCAATACATAGATATTTCATCAGAAACTTTGTCATTTACGATTTCATAAAAAAAGCAAAAGGTAATTGCATCTGCACAAGGCAGGAAGCTTTTGATTCCCACTTAATTCCAGCTCATGAATTTGTCTTCTGCTTTATCAGGAAATTAGGGCTGACTTTGTAGCTACTACAGGCAGGGTGGAGCCATTACACATCTTTGTTTAAGTAACTTTAACTTTTTATTCAGAGTAAGCTACTATTACTGTAGAGCAATACATCCAGTCCTTCCATCTCCTACAGAAGTTTGTTTCAAAGATCTCTTTGTGTTAGAAAATTAGGAAAATACAACCCAAGTATCACAGGGAAGAGTCGTGCAGGCTCTTTATCAGTTTTCCATGTATCAGACTTTAGAAGTGGCAGAATTTTCATGCACTTTTAAGCTCAATGAGTTCTGGTCATGAGCACGTGGTCAGACAGATAGTCACACTGACTCCACATCCCAAATTTTTCCTGTTCCAAACCAATACTCCACACTACTGCAACCACTGCTTGCACCCACATAACCACATGTATCTTCACAGTGGTTTACTGCAACTTTGCTTACATCTCTTTCCCGGTAATTAATTTTGCAGTTCAACTAATGAGTCCCTCAGTGTTTCTTTTGCTTTAATGAGAGATAATTCCCATAAAGTAACTGCACAGCTGGCAGGTATAAACAGAAGCATTAAACTGTATGGTGATGTACATCTCACAGAGAACTTCTAAGAGTTAAAATTAAATTAATGACCTGGAAATTAGTTTGACTTTTTAAGAAAACCCAGAATTAAAGATTAGAACTCAATGACAGGAATCATATTTAGCACTACTTACACTCCAGAGAAGCTTTTGCTATTTCATTGCAAGCTTAGAAGCACAAAATATTCAAATTCTAGTAACAAAATTATTTTGACATTAAAAATCCTAAAAGCCAATTAGGGTCTATATTCAGCCATTTCATAAGAGGGAAAACCAGACAATGCTCAGTTCTGAATGGTGGAAGCACTAGAAACAGAATGGTCTTATTATTTCTCCCCGTCTGCTTTCCTCAAGGATGAAAAGGAAGTCCACTGACTTTTAAAAAATATTTCAATATATCAGTTTCAAATCTGATATGCTACCTCAGAAGATCTAAGAAATAACAGTCCAATTTATATTGGAATAACTACTTATGCTTTTGTATTTGTAACTGCTCCTGGGTTACATTTTAAATGTAAATTAAAAGCTGTTTTACGGTAATCACAGGTGGCCCACATTTCTGGATTTTGTGACATTTTAGTCTTTCCTTGACACAGGAACTTTTTGAACATTTCTCACCACCACTGTAGTCTTGTAAGAGCAGTTACCTACTGCTACAATGGCAGAGAGATGGAAATAATGTGTAAAGCAATTACTCTTTTACCCAACTTGTGTACTCTTGTACTGAAGCCTTCACATTTTTTCCTGTCTGCAATGTGTATTCCACCCTCTTCCATTTCAGTTTTTATATTCCTCCTTCCCTTCTAGTATATTTATAAACCACTTCACTTTTTCACTTATTGAGTCTCTCCACCTCCCCAGATTAATGTCTCTCTCTAAATGTCCCCAGATTAATAAATTCAGATTTAAACTGGACATGAAGGAAAGCCAAATATTTCAGTGTTACTATTATATGACATTTAACCAGTATTAATCATGTACCAGAACTGATGTAAGATATTTATTTTATTTTGGACACTTTACTTGTTATACAGATAACCATGTCTGAAATTATTCACAAGCTCATACAGCCTTAATTATTCATCCATGGTTCAGTTCTAAAGGAATCTCCCTATATTCTTCAGCATATTTGATGGCCAAAGCAGAGTTCTGGAGCAGTAAAACCCTTTGCAATGATTCATATGAGCAAAACCTTTTTATCTCACAATGTCCTTATGTTGTCCACTCTAACAGTTTTCAGAGGTATGCATATAAAGAAGGGTAAATGTAAAGCAAATTCTTCTATAAAACCTAAAGGTATTCTCCATTTCTTTAATAAAAATCTCTGTAATATTGACTTAGGTAATTTAAATGATCTTCTTCCTTACAACCACCATGGCAAAATTTTCTGGCCATATTCTCCTTTAGCCTCAGTTCTGAAGAGTCTTCCTGAAGTGAAAAATAAAAGATGTTTTCAGAAAAGAAAAAAATCCTTAAAGAGACCTAAAAATGGGAAAGGAGCTGTTTAAATTGGAAGTAACTGCCAGATGGTTTTGATCAAGGTAAGCTACTCCAAGGCCCCAAGGCATTTTAATGACCAGGATTAACGAGAAAACTGCCGATTGTCAGATTTCTTGCTGATGTGTTTGAAGATTTTTGCTTTGTGGACACTCTTTGATTTCTGGTAGCCAAATCCCCCACCTCCACCTCTTTTCTGTAGTCTTCTGCCACGGTTGCTGTTCACATCTGAAATTTCATTGGTTAAAGAACTTAAAAAGGAGTACCTCGAAATATTACATTTTGGGTTTACTTAAGGTTATTGATATGAGGAAAAGTTGAGCTGCCTAATTACAGAGAAACCCAGAACTTTGTGCTTGTGGTTCTAAATATTCCTCCAGCTGTCCAATTAAACTATCCAATGCACTACTGCTTCCATTCAGTGTCAGGTTTGACAGCAATTTAAATACAGTCTCCTAGTTCCTGCTCTTGCCCCTCTATGCCAGTATTCCATGACTATGAAACTGAAGCAAATATATTTCAATGAAAATAATCTTCTATGGAGGTTTCAAAGAAGAATACTTTGGAACATGGATACATCCCAAAATCTGCCTGACAGCAACTGAAGCATGTACACCATGGACATGTGCTAAAAGAGATGTTTGTAGGTATTTTTGCAGTTATATAATTTGCAATATTTACATTTTCTTTGATGAAATACTTTTGGAGCATGGTTCCTTTTTCATGATTATTAGCAGAAAAACTCCAACCCCAACAACAAAACAGCAGAACTTGAGGTACCATAGGAATTCAGCAAGTTGCACTGAACATTTATAATGCAGAAATTCAGCTTTGAAACACTGCAGTAAAAGGATACTGAGGTCAACAAACGGAGGAACTTTAAAACCAAACGAAAGGCAGACTTTTGGAAGATCCAAATTATTGACATCATAGATCTGCTTCAGAGAATGGGAGTCGTAAGCTCTGATATAAGCTTTGTAAGCTTCCTGGGCTGACTTGTGAAGGAAGTAGTTCTTCTCTATCAGTTTTTCCAGCTGGTGAGGGGAAAATAAAACCATAAGAGACATAAATAATTATAACTGTTAAAAGTCTATACATTATATTCAGACATTTTTTTACTGTATGAGCGGCAATGACATTCACTCCTTACTACAGCAAAACTGGGACATCAAAATGCACATTTTGTAAACATGTAGAGGGACAAAAGATCCTGAAGCTGACTTACAGTACAAACAAAGCCTCAGCAATATGAAAATTTACAGAAATATTACACTGGGTTGTCCCAAACAAGTTAATCAAGGACAATACACCTGCAGCCACACCATGAAACTTTGTGTATGAGAACAGCCAGCCTGACACCTGAACTGTGTGATTCCATGCAATTCCGTGCACAGCCTGATCTATTATGGTGCCAGTTCATTGTGACGTCAGCAGTTATTAATTCTAAACAAAAATGGAGATACACCAGACTAAGATATTTTATTTGATGTGGGCCAAGTTCCCAATACTCATTAGATCCCAGTGTCTCATTTGATGTTTAACATACATTAATTCAGCATTCTAAAAATAAGCTACATTAAGTACCACTTCTTCCTGATTATGCTTAATTAGGAACCTCTCTCTGTAAGGACTGTCTTCACTGCTTCCTATACTTGCTATTTTAAATTCAAGTTACTGCAAAGAAGCTTTACAGACCTCTTATCAAAAGAATGATTCACAGAAGTAATCAACAATAGAAATTCGTATCTTCAGAATTAGCTATGCTATTCCACTCAACTCTGTGTTCCTTGGCTATTTTTGTAGCACAGGAGCACAAAATTTTAGCTGATGTTGGGCTTTATTAAGACATGGGCTTATATAGTAATATTCCTAAAGAAGCAAAAATATTTTGAGTTGCAGTCATTATAGACTGCAACATTCTCCATGCAAATTGTAACAAAGATAGTTGAAAACAAAGTAGTTGACGTGTCATACCTGAGACTGGATGTCTGAGATTTTTGACCAAGAAAATTCAAATTCACTTAGCGGTACCTTATAAACAGAAGAAGAAATGAAGCATCAACATGATTTAAACTGTGTAAATATACTGAATGTGTTTAAGACCAAGGACAAATAGAAAACAATCTTCTAGATAACAGATTTTTTAACACCACAGCTGTATCTGTGAAGTGCCTTTACATCAATATGACAGTATTATCACTTCCTTTAAGCCAGAGTAATAGAGACACTCAGTACGACACCATTTTTTACCACTTTTGCTTTAGAAGTTAAATAATTTTAGTTAAAAGTCACAAAACAAGTCCATAAGGACAGCAATCAAGCAGCTCTGTTAAAATGATTACCTTTAAAAGAATACTATGTTTCTTTGGAATCAAATAAAATGAAACTGATCTTTGAAAAACCAAACCAAACCAACAGGTTTTGCCTTTAAAAACTGTACAGAAGTTTACCCTGGCTTGTTTAAGATAACGAAGGAAGCCCAGTTCTTCTGGTCGTAAGATGAGCAGAGCATGTCCTCTTCCGTTTATTCCTCTGGCAGTCCGACCAACACGATGGATATATTCCTTTTGGAAAGAATAACAGACAACAAGGTCAGGCAGTCTTAATCGTCAACAAAAAATACACCAAAGTTAACCTCAATATAATGTAAGGTATCATTCACTATTTGGTAAAACTTTTTCTTGGCACTGACACATGGATAAGGGAAAACAAATGCTGAAGGCGCACAGCAACATCACGCTGAGACAGAGCCCCTGACTAAAGCATTTTATCTTTTACTGAGGAAAAAAGATCTTAGTCTGCAGTAACTGAAAATTAAATCTTGATTTTAGAGATTTTTAAATTTCCCTTGTTTACAGTAGACTTTTATTCAAGTAAGACTATTATCTTTAAACAAAAGAAAGCTCAGGGATGCGTACGTAAACTCGCCCTCCTCTTGAGAAGTGTTTGGCTGTTTAGTTGATTAGATTTTAATTTCACAGCACAAACAATATTTTAAAATGCAATTCTCAAGAAGGCAACCAAGGTCTTGGCTAGGAGCAGCATTTCCTAGGAGCTGGTGAAGGGCAGTGAAAGAAACGAGCAGCAGGATATGCCCATGTCTGAATCCTGCCCTCTGTCAAGCAGCAGTTTCAGCTCTTCTCTGCAACTAAGTTTGTAGACAGGATTTGATTTCTTGCTGTTCCTATCTATTTCCTTAGCTTACCTTTGGATCATCTGGAGGGTCATACTGGACAATCCAGTCAACCTCAGGAATGTCCAATCCTCTGGCAGCCACATCAGTGCACAGCAGTATTCCAGACTCCGCATTACAGAACTGGAAAAACGTTGTAGTACGTTTGGTCTGTTTCTGCTTACCCTGAAAGGAAACAAACACACTGGGGATGAATATCAACTAAAAAATAATTTGAGACATATCCCAAATCGTGGTTTTGTATAGACCAAGCAGGACTATATTGAAGTGAACAAAGGAAAAAAAATAAACCACACAGAGTTACAAGAAGCGGCATCCCTCAGAGGGTATCACTCTATCTCCCAAAACATTAAAAATTGCATAAACATTCTTCTCACGAGCCCAACAAACATGTTTCAAATTCAAGAAAAGGACATTTGCAAGTCTAGCATTATATTAGACGGATTACAGGTTATAAAAGCAAACAACCAAACAAAACTGATTACTTGTCACAGTTCTATCAAAGACTAGCAAGACATTTCCCCCGAAAACAAAATAAAAAAGGACATTTATGATTAGTTGCAAGTGTTTAATAGACTTTCAGTCAATTCATTGTTCTAAACTGTGCATTTTGTGGTTTTGATAAAAAATTTACAATAGCCATCCAAATGGTAAGAATTGGCATAGTAAATCCAAACATCACCCTGGCCAGGAAAAGCATCAAACACTTCAGGCATAAGACTCTGAATTTCTCTGGCAAAAAATTTGCTCCACACATTGAATTTTTGTGCATGTGAAAGGTCACTTCTTGGAAGAAAACAGAATTATTACTATACAGAGAGCATAAATTAGTATTGTGTTCAGCACTGGTTCAAAAAATAGCAAGAATGATTACTGAAGCTTTATTATATAATCTGCATTATTTCCTTCCTCTACAGACTAATCAAGACCATCATCAGTTTTGTGAGCAGGCTGTCTGTTTATTAGAAAATGGACTGAAACAAACCAGACAAAGATAAAGCCAATAACAGCTTACAGGTGTTATCAGAATAATTCAAAATAAATCAATGAATAAGATACTTACATGAATGGCCAAAACAGGCAGATCAATGTAGTTGAGTAATTCATAGTGGTACTTCACTGACATACATGAAGAAAAAAATACCATCAGTTTCTTCTTCCGGTTCTTCTTGAGGAATGTGAAGAGCAAAAGGAATCTTTTTTCAGATGGACAGACCACATAACCCTGCAAAAATTTTAAACATTGTTAAATAAAAGTAGTAAGGAGCAAACTTGTGTTTTAGGAACACAATTACCTCAGGGAAGAGCTACTTTGTGAAAAAATCCTAACGAAACAGTTATACACCTGAAGCATCCCAAGTAAAAAAAACCACAGGGCTTGGTGTGTTCAGAGATCTCAACCCTCTCACAAATGTTTCTCTTACCTGCTCCAGACCATCTACTGTTGCTGTCTCCTTGTTATCATCAACCCCAACATACAGTGGCTCTTTCTTCAGAGAGATCTTTGCCAGATCTTCGACCTTTCTGGTTTGTGTGGCAGAGAAAAGCATCGTCTGTCTGCGCTCTGGAAAATATTTGAAAGACAGCCTCACTTTTTAAAGAAGAATTCAAACAGTGATTCTGTAAAATCTACTTGCAAACTTCCCTGGGCAAATATTCCAATTAAATTCTAATTCAAACATACTGCTACTGACAAAACAAAAAGGTGTAGTTGTATTATGGGATGTACACCATATTTATTTCAGCTGTCCTCACCCCCAAAATCCTAACTGCTATCAAAACACAACGTTCTTTCTCTGTAAAAATGTTAATAATCATTTGCAATCCAATTCAGACACAAAACAAAACTGAGATTAATCTTCTAATTCTAAATTAATATCCATGAATACTACCATATTTTTGTTTAAAAAAACAATTAAATTGCGTTTAATACATCAATTACAAGGAATAGTTACATGAAAAATTAGGAAAATAAAAATTTAAGGTAAATACTTAAACTTCTCCAAGAAGTATCAAAAAAGATTGACCTGCAAGTCAGAAGCCCTTTTTCCTTGAATTTAAACCTTATTAGGAAATAATGAATTGCAGGAAATAAACACACAGAGGACAATGAATGAGAAAATGGAAACATTAAACTAAAAGGATTTTATATGAATAGAAATATATCTCTGAACAGCATTTGAAAACTCTGTTCTTCAGATAAATGATAATGAATAAGTAATGTATACTGGCTAGCAGAAAAAAAGGACAGAGTAAGAAAACCACTATGAAGTTAATTTACAGAACTATAAAAATTAATAACTTCTCCTATAATAATAGAGCCAGAAAGAAGACATAATGTTAGTCAAGTGGTTTCCAGGAAAGAGAGATTTTTTTTTTTTTCTTACTTGGTAAAAGTTTTATGATCTGTTTCATTTCTTCTTCAAATCCAACCTCCAAGATTCGATCTGCCTCATCAATTACCAAACACTGCAAGTTCTTGTACATGAAACCTGGAGTGTTCTAGAAGATTAACAAACTCACAGTCAGACAGGGAAAAGAGTTTTAATGTTTTAACAAACAGATTAGACATCAATATTGTATCTACCTGCATATGATCCAGCAGTCTTCCTGGTGTTGCTACAATGATGTTGATTCCATTTCCAAGCTTCTGTGCTTCTGCTGATCTGTTGCTGCCCCCCATTATCAGACCATAGGTATGAACGTGATGATTCATAAGTTCTTTAAGAACTCCATAGGTTTGCATAGCCAGCTCTCGAGTAGGAGAAAGAATAATAACACCCGTACCTAAAAAATGCATCAGAGAGTCAGTTACAACTCATCCAACCCCCTAAATGGCTCTGCAGTAAAATTCAGTTGTGCAATGAAGAGCCTTACCATTCCTAGGCATGAATTTCAGCTTGTAGATGAGCTCTACTGCAGGAATGAGAAACGCAAGTGTTTTTCCACTGCCTGTTTTTGCAGCTGCTAAAATATCCCTGTAATCAGCAACAGAAAAAGAAGTATTTAGTTGACCATACCAAGAGAAGAGCAATCTCACTCTGATCCATGCTGACAATGTAAAAAACTAACGTGGCTTAAAGAAGACCAGTGGAGTTGGTACTAGGAGCTTGCTGGAAAAGGCAGGTCACAGCAATTAGTCAGTGGAAGGCCCCTCGATAATCATGGAGGTATTTTCCAACATTAATACCATTATTTGATTTTGTGATTCATGTATGTAGTTTGCCAGCAAAATTTACAAAACACCTGGGGTCATTAGAGTGACTAAAACCCCTATTTCTTACCTGCCTTCCAGAAGAGGCTTAATACTTTTATGTTGAATTTCGGTCATGTGTGTAAACCCCATGTCATTTATGCCTTTCAATGTATTCTCACTGACACAACCAGCCAGGGAAGAAAAGGAATTGTCTTCAAAAGCACCTGAAGTGAGGGGCAGAATAAAAAATATTTAAACTTATTTCTTCTATTTCCTCTGCCATCTGAGATTAACCAGTTCAAATTGACCTATATGGAAAAAAATCAAAGGACTTCTTATTGCATTCTACCACAACATCCAAAGACACTGGCAAAATACTCTGTATTACTGAGTTAATAAGAAAACTACACAGAGTTAACAAAAATGAAGATGAATGCACTGCTTCTTCTGTCAGATTTACTAGTTCTACACCTCCAGCTTGCTCTTCATGGACTTCTTCCTTTACAGATAAGCTTATATGTATATAGGTTTAAAAAACACTTTCACTAGTAATTGCAGGACCAACAGATGTGTATATAATGCAAATTTCCAAGAACAGCAGATGGGTGAGTGCTGTACAGCTGCCAGTGTCACATCACATATCCAAACACCTGACTCACAAAGCTCACTTGAAAACTGCAACTTGCTCTGGAAGGAAAGTGTTAGACCTTGGGATTTTGCCCGTGCATGAAGAAGAGAACACAAGATACCTGTTACACCTAGTGGCAAACTGGGCACTTCATCTTCCTCCTCTTCCACTTCTTTCTCTCCAGAGTCCTGCTTATCTTCATCTTCTACCTCTGCAGATTCATCTTCTTCAGTTTTTGCTTTTTTGGTTTCTGTATCTGGAGTGTTATTTTTACAGAAGACCAGTTAGAAATGCAAAGGTCATGGTTATCATGAAAAGCTGTTCCACAGACTGAATTTCCTTTAGTCTGTAAACCATGTACAAAGATCTTGATCTTCCATGGGCTGGAAGGGGGCTGGAGGAGAGACAAGGTTTCTATGGAATTTTCTGAGAGTAAAAAAATCTGTGGAATCTATGGATTCTAAAAAATCTATGGAATTTTCTGATAGTAAAAAATCTCCAAGTTTCTTCCACACAGCCCATTTTACATATTGATAAAATTTAGCTTGACACATATCATATGACATCTTGTGTGAAAGTAAGATAAATTGTCCTTAAAGTGGTTAAAAAATTCTTTCCCATCTGCAATGCAAACACCAAATTTCCCACACTGTTTGTGCTCAGGGTATGTGAGAAGTTGCATTTTAGGTACCTGAATCTTTGGAGATTAAAGCATCTCTTCATTGGCATAAGCATGATGCATGTCCCAAAAAATTAAATAATGTCAAAACTCTGAAAGCTTCTATTCCTCATGTATGTCTAGAAATCTATCTATAAATCTAGACATATAAAAACATGTGCAAACCTAGCAATATTTGTGTGGTGTTTTTTTAGGGTTTTTTTGGTAGTTTTTAAGTATATTTCAATTTCATAATATATAAATGTTCCCAAACGCTGGACATATTGCTACAAAGTTGTATTGGCTGCACAGCCAAGTACAGAGCCCTGAAACACAGGGCATGTATTTGAATAATAAACAAGCAAAACATCCCGTCAACGTTACAAAGCACAATCCTATGGAACAAATAAACTGGTTACTAGTATGAATTAAGAATTCAAACATCGCAGCTGGAATGAAAGGGGTAAATCCTTAGACCTCAGGGACTTTAAAACGCACACTTGACCGGCACATGGCATTTCAAACTTTCCCCGCCGCCGCGGCACTAAGGAGCCGCTTGCGGGGTCTCCCAGACTAATTCAGCCCTGGGAAACACGCTGTCCTTGCTAAGAACACGCACCATCTCCTCCATTGGCCACCGCTTTTCTCTTTTTTTTCTTCTTTTTCTTCTTTTCCCCGCTGCGGAGTCCGGCTGCGTCCGCAGGCTCCGCGCCCTCCTGGGCCGCTGCCGCCACCTCTGGCGCCTCTGGCACCGCCGCCTCCTCCTCCTCCTCTTCCTCCGGGGGCCCCTGCGAAGCCGCCTCGCTGGCCGAGGGCGCTGCACGGCGGAGACAGAGACAGAAGGAGGAGGGAGAGGGGAGACAACACCAAGTTGGTCACGGCTCGGCCGGCGCTCAGCCGGGGAGAGGCTCCGCGGCGCCGCCCGCCCGTACCTGCCCCCTGCGCCGCCTGCAGCTTCAGGTTGCGCTGTCGCAGCTTCAGGTTGCGCTTGTGGATCTTCCTGCGGAGCAGCCGCATGGGCAGGTTGCTGGCAGCAGCCGGCACCGACATCGCGGCGGCGGGAGCAGAACGCCGCTCCTGGCGCACACACACACACACACGCACACACACACACACACACACACGCGCACACGTGCGGAGACCGCGGCCGAGCGCCGGAACCGCCGCCCGCGGGGCCCGACGGGCGCCGGGCAGCGCCCTCTGCGGGCCCGGCGGAGGCAGCGCCGCGCGGGGCCGGCCTCCGCCCTGTCGGGGGCTGTGCAGTGATGGTTCCAAGGTTGTGGGAAGTCTCTGAGCCCCGCAGCCAAAGAAAAAGCCGTAATTGGTCTGTGCTGGTTTCCAGGTTGTTTATTCTGTTTATCTCTAACATGTTCTGCTGCCCTGCCCAGCTCTGTCCTGCAGGGCAGCGTGTGGGGCTCTGCCCTCAGTGGGATGTGACAAACATTAAATACCAGAAACTCCCTGGGCTGGATTTACAATAATGTGCCAATGTAACATCCCTCAGTAGGCTGTTACAAACATTATATACCAGGAACTACCTGTGCTATATTTACAATAATGTGGCAATATCTGTCACCTACATTAAACAGTGTGTCCCCAGCCTGAACCAATAAAAAAATGCCAACACCACAGTGAGACATGGAGGGCATGAAGGAGAAGAAAAAGGACAAGACACACCCAATTTCTTTCATCTTGTCCCCTTTGAACCCCAAATCTAGAATCATAAAATCGTGCCACATTTAATTATTACTTATATCAAACACTCAGAGCTTGTAATTCATCCTGTAAGATTGAAAACTCTTTTCCATGGACAGAGATCACAGACAGTGTCTCTGGGGGCTCTGTCCAGGGTCCCAGGCCTTCCAGGGCAGCCAGAGGGATAGTTATAAAAATAATAATAAAAATTAGAGCAATAAGAATTTGGACAATCAGAGTTAGGACAATAAGGGACAATAAAAAGCAAAGAATTACGGATGTCCGGATGCTCTTGGACACTTTGCTACAAAAGCACACCTGGTTAACAAAGGATTATCCCTTAGAAGCAATAGCCTGTTGCATATTCATAGATCTCATACATTATTCAAAAATTCTTTTTCAAACAAAGGATGTCTTCTGCTTAGTTTCTGCCCACCTCCTTCATCTTGTAAATCAATTTCTTGGCTCCTAGAAGTCTGGAAGAAGTCTGAACAGTCCAGATAAGGAGGCAATAAATCTCTGGATTTTGGTGCCTTTTTGCTGTTCTCTGTATACGAAGAACTTCTTGGTTGCCTTGTCCATTCTCTGAGGTAGTTACAAAAAGTATCTTACATCACATAGTTTCTAATTTAATATTATGCTATAGCTTAAAAACTATTTTTACCACTCTACTTAAAAGATTAATATGGCATAACTTTCTAGCATAACACATGTAGTATTCATTTTAATATTTGCTAAAAGCCAATCATATAGTGTGCACCTATAACACATTAGTTTGGCACAAGGCCCACACTGATAAGCTGGGGGGTTATGTCAGACCCCACTGACCTGCTGTCTGCTGGCTACAATCAGCATGGCACACAAGGGAAACTATAGACAAAAGATGGTCTTGCATCTGTGTACACAGATGTCAGGACATGCCGTATAAGAATTCAGTAATTACAGATTTTTTTTTGGTAGAAAATTATCATGACATCCAAAATTGCTTTCTCTCAATATCTTGTAAAACATGCTACTTAGAGTTAATAAACAAATGTGCTTCTCTGGAAATTTTAAAACATGTTTTGAGCTTCCTTCTTTGAGCCTATTTGTAACAAGAAAAAAAATTTTTTTGGAAAAAAAAAAAAAAAAAAAAAAAAAGAAGACTCAGAAGATAATAATGATACTATTATTGTGACAGGTCTAGACAGTAATTTAAACCTCTAACTCATGTTAATAGTTTTTCTCTGAATTTTGGCATTTCTTAGCGCATAAATCCCCTCTAGTACAAGTGTCATTTTTGTCCAATACTTTCATTCCTAATTGCTTGAATTATCAGGCAATCATTAGTAACCATTGGATTTTCTCAAATGGTTATTGAATTGTTGTCAAAATGTCCCAAATTTTCTGTACATGATCTTGCAGGAAGATTTGTAGGGAAACATGTTTTGTGTGACTAACCTTTATAGAGCTGAATAAGTCCATATGAGATAAAGGTGAATATTTTTAATGGGCTGCCAATGTCAGTATTTTATCTCCCAGAGTTAAATCATCCTTATAGCCAAATTCAGAATATTTGTGCCTACTTACCATAAACTAACTTGTGTTGATTGAAATGTAACATAGAAGTAGTAATTGATTTCAGTTGTATCATTTTAAATAGAAGGTGTAATTTATACGAAAGGTGCCAAAATCCCATCTAGAAAAGGTTGTGAAACAAAAGTGTGTAGTCATTTTTTAATACACAGTTTTGGGTACAGAGCCAAATTAAAGAAGACAAGTTTTATTTTCAGAAATCAGAATTTCTGAATAAATGCTTTTTTGATGTCTTTGGTTGAACAAGAAGAAAATAATCACTGATGTAATTTATGAACATCTGCACCATTCAGCTAAAAGTTCTGAACTAGAAAACTAAAGCTTGCAGCCACAAACTGGAACACTGTTCAGAACTGTCTTTTAATTTTTAGCAAATTATTATTTTCCATGCTAGACCAAATTTATCTGTCAGACAGTAATACAAAGGGACTTGGTTTAAAATCAGATTTTTTTTTCAAATGTGCCTACCTTACCAGTCTGTGTACATATGCAAATGATGGATACAACGGTGTCTGCAGAAATAATCAATTTTCTAATTTAATGGAGATATATAATTCTGAAATGTGGACTTTGACAGAGAAAAGTTACCCAAATCTGAACTGACATAAATGGCATAGATACAGATATATTCAGATAAATCACATAGAGAATAGATGACTTGATTTATAGAACATGTCAATGTTAATGTGAGTTAAAAATTGCTGGTACAAATCATGTCTTTATAGGATATCACTGAATATCACTGAACCTGTGAGGGAATTTAAAGTATGACTTACAAGGAAAGTAAGGCATCCATGTTTGGAAAAAGCAAGGCAGGCTGCCATAATCACATCTTTTTCGGGGGTTGGTTTAATGCTGCTTTCAGCTAATGTGTCCCTTGTGCCATGTGGCAGTCTGGTCTCAGTTATAACTGACAGCAGCAGCACTTTGTGGACATGGCAGTAGAGCTGGATTCAAATCACATCAGTGAATTTTTTATTTCTCATTCAGCCCATATTTTACAGCTGGAACTGAAACTATTGCAAGTGTTCTAATTCATGATCTCCTCTTTGACACACAGAGGACCAAAGTCCAGGAACTGCCAAAATCAGGAAATCCCACCTTGTAGGAAATGTTGGAGTTCTTTCTTGCAGTAAGAGATTATTTTATGTTTATCATCTATACACTGCAAACAAAAAATCTTCAGAAAAACAAGGTGCTATACACATTTTTATCCTCACAGAGGCAATGAGAGAACAAAAAATGCATAATGCAAGAACAGTGCGCAGTCTGTAATGTACCACTGGCAGGCAGGAGGGTACCTTCAGGATAACTGAAGTGCAAAATTATGGCACACAGATGAAGAGGTTAGACTCTATTTTATTTTATTTATTTATTTATTTTAATTTAAAGTTTGTTTCTGATGTTTACAATTTAAATTTACAATATATTTTTAGGGTCCTCAGAAGCTGCTTTTCTGAATCAGATGAAATAATATTCAAACATTTTCTGTTCTGTTTTAGGAGACTGTTTCCACATTTGCTTCCCCTGTTCCACAAACCCTAGCAGGTGTTGATAAATAGCCTGTTTTGCACATGACAGTAAACAACAGCCACTTTTATTAAGACAGCATGTAAATTCACAATATTATTTTTTTAACTACAAAGATCCAATTTTTATCTCCTGTTTTTAGCAAACCTAGTGAAGGTTTCTCAAAATGCTGCAAAGGCTACAAGTAGGATCAAGTGATTTATTAGCAGATTAATCAATTTCAGGTATAGCAACTAGTTTATAACTTACAGACTGACAGGTTCATAAACCCTTAAAATAATAATTTTCTCAGGCATAAAAGGCATTCCTGTTACAGTGCCCTCATTAATTTAAAGAATACTAGTAAATATATTACTGTCTCCTATTCAGGAGTGTGTCTTTTATATTGCTTCATCATTTACAGATCTTCATTTAAAATAGCTCTGTTCAAACGATAAAAAGTTATGATTAAACTCAAAGAGAATATGAAATCTGATACAGTAAGGGAAATATATAGGGTCAGCTAAAATTCTTTCGAGCTCTTTTGAAGGTAAAATTTGAAGGGGAAGGATATTCTGGGTGCATTGCAGCTGGATGGAGGCTGATGAGAGGCAGTTTGTGGTTGGAATGAACACAAGATGTCACCCTCGCTGTGAGAGAGCTCCAACACACAAACACCCTTAGATGAAGAGGAAAGAGAACGAAGGATTGAGGTTACTTTTTTTTTTTTTTAACAGTTGTCCATCACGTATGTTCCTTCATTTGCCTATCCTGGAGCACTCTTTCACTGCAAAATTTTCTACACCTTGCTGAGTATTTATAGGAAAATTCTCTCGTGCCACTTTTAATTTATTAAATTGCTTTTTAAAAGTAGGTTCTGAAATTTGGAATCAGGTTTTACTTCCTTGAGTAGTAAACCTATATTTCTTATCCTGTTAGTGAAAAAGACAATGGAGAATAAAGTGCCATATATTTCTGAGTTTTCTTCAGTAACATTAATTTTCATACATTTACCTGGAAGTCTTAGAACTTATAGAAGAATGGAATGGTAACTATTGTGAAAAACTTTCAGATAATATAATGAGATAAATTGTCAAATTTCTTCCTTCAATGTGCTGAGAGAGCCATTTTGTGCTGAAGAGTAATCTTCTCTGTATGTAACAGTTTGAAATTCCCTTTACCTTTATTGTAAGCAATACATAATTCTTCCTTTGAGGAAGATGGGGTTTAAAATCTTGAATTAAACAAAGCATTGATATTAGCATTCTTCT